CTAGGTGGGAAATTCTTCCGGGGAATGATGCCTACCTGCCCCTGGCGGCCCCCCCCCCCCCCTACTGAGCCGAGATTTTTTTGTTGTGCGTGTTTCTTTTTTGGTGTTGTTTTGTCTCGTGCGATCTTTGCGTCGCGTATCTCCATCCCCGCGGCAATGGTCCTGCCTGTAGTCTTACGTCTGTTTACATTGTCTAGGCGGCGAAGTTTTCTTTGGGGTTGAGCCGGCGGGGGGGACGAGCTTTGATCGCTACCCCGTAGTTCGTTCGTACGGTGATTATACTCCAGCCGATGGTTCCATTCAAAGTTATAGACGCGACCACGTCGTTCCAGAGCGGTAGATTTTTTGTTATTGTAGTGGACATCACACACGGCGTACAGTTGTTCATGTTCATATACGTACCCTTGATTTTGCGTTCTTAGCTGAGAGAAAGAAACAGGATCAGGGGCGGGGGTAAGCGGGCTCTCACCGAATTCGCAGCTGCGAGCTTGGTGTGATTTTGTTTTGGGCGAATTGTGCTGTTTTGTCGTCTGTGGTGGGTTTTTTCTGGCCTCTCTCGAAATTCATTCACGGAGCCTTCTCTGTGTCGACTCGAAAGATGTCCCACCGACACGAATTTTGGAAGCACACCCCGACAAAGGTCCCAGTCGGGAGGGGGGGGGGGGGGGTATACGGCTGTGTCGTATGTACCAGGTACTGTCACGAGTACCGTTGATGCGGGGACGTTTGGTTACCATGCCCGGAAGCGGTGGGGACAGTCTTGTCATCCCGGACGAGGCCCCCTACTTACCGTGTAAAACCAAGGTTCGAGTGCGAGCACTAGGGGCGGGGTAGTTGCGCAGTCAGCGATGATTAGATATCGATTGCTGTGTGTGGTAGCAGCTGTGCCTCCGGATTTCGGCTGCATTGGTACCGCCCTCTCGAGCCACTGGTTGGCACGAAAGGCGAGTGATGGAAGGATTCGTGTTGGGCATTGGGGACGCGTGTCGCTGTGTGGTTGGATAAGAGCCTTGCTTGCGGGATGGGTCGCTGCTCCTGATTGTGCTGCCGGATTCGGCAATGGATGGGTCGTGGACGTGAAGATTTCTGGGTTTCGTTGCTGCTGCATCATTTGTACGCCGCAAGCTTTTGTGGGAGGAGGGGGAGGAGAGATACAGGGAGAGGTTGATTATGATAGCACCATGCTTTCCAATGCATGGCAAAGAGTTCGTCTCAAACGATTTACTACCGCCGCCCTGAAACGACACAATGGGCTAGATTTTAGTGCATGTCGCCTTTCATCTCATTCGTGACGGGTATCGCCGCATGCCCTTGAATTGACGCACATGTATGGCAAGCGCTTTATTACATACACCGAGATTACTGGAAGGTAGGAGTGTAGCTTGCTCAGCTTGGAGCATTCACTTTTTGTAGGCTGTTGGAGTTTCTGTGGCGCTTGGCCGCTGCTTTAGACTTTTGAACTCCGAAAACTTTTTTTTTTTCTCACCTTGGCTCTGCCGTATCTTCTAACTCGCTTCTTTCTGACGAGAGAAGAGCTGGGTCTAGCTGGTACTGCACGCACACGAAATATAGATGAAACTGACTGGTTGCCGATCTTAAAACTGCTTCGTGCTTATTTGCACGTACAGAGGAAAATTCTCCCAAGAGGCCGTTTGCGGTCTCTTGAGGTCTCGCCGCGCGGCAATCACACTTTCAGTCGGAAGAATCGACTCACGCACTTTTTGTGCCGAACCACAGCTTTGACTTCGCTTTGGGGAGGGCGGGGCCAGAGAGAAAACGAAAGACACGCCGGCAGGCGCTTTCTTACGCCGTATCTCTCCGTGCCTCCCATTGTGGGGCACAACGAAGGTAGTCTGTCTGTACGTCTCGTGTCTTTTACTCCTGGCAATTGAAGGATGTGGGAACGAAACGACCGCGCTCCCTTCTTTCTCCACCCTGCCATCGCTTGTTGGGTCACACACACCGTGAGCTAACGTTCTGTGACCCTCTCCTACATCCGGTGCCCGGCCGCCACACGGACAAACACAACGCAGACAGCAGCTCAACACGCACCGACAACGAACGCCACCATCTGTCAGTCCCTAAAAAATTGATATCCTCAACTAAACACAACGATGACACGTTCGCCAAGACACGAGCCCCGCCATGATGTTTCAGTATTAATTCTCTCTCACCTCCCCCCCCCCCCCCCCCCCCCCCCAGCAACAGCAGCACCAACAACAC